CTTCCTCCTCCCGCTCTTCTCTCCTTCCTTCTCCCTCCCTCTATTTCCCTTTCCCTCCCTCTATCTCTCTCCTTTCTCCTCCCTCTCTTTCTTTCCTTCCTTCTCCCTCCCTCTATTTCCCTCTTTCCCTCCCTCCCTCCCTCCCTCCCTCCCTCCCTCCCTCCTCCATCCCCCCACCCCCCTTCCCGTCTTTTTTCACGTATTTTGACGGAGTTTTGATAGCCATAGGGTGCATCGGCGAGTCAGAAACCCTTGCATTACTCATCCCCGGCATGTGAAACTCGGGAGATTTTGGCAAAAGTTAATATGAAGTGGAGTTGGGTTGGCCGGAGTTGCAATATGCAGTGGAAGGAGGGAGGTCCATCACGTAGAGTTGCAGAGTTGGCTTTAATGTTCGTATGGAGGCCTAATGGAAGCTGATGGGTGTTGTGAGGGTGTATGCGTTCCGGGATGTGATCAGGCGCTGAAGTATGTTAATGTAGACGAGGATTTATTTTTTGATAGATGGATAAATGCTAAAGACACACACGCACGCACACGTACACACACCGCACGCACGCACACGCACAACGCACACACACACACCACACACACACACACACACACACACACACACACAACACACACACACACACACACACACACACACACACACACACACACACACACACACACACACACACACACACACACACACACACACACACACACACACAAATGAGCGTGCTCAAAAAGGCACACTCTCCAGTATCTCTTACACCGCCATAATCTTTCTAAATCATTCTATTTGTACGTAGTTTTTGCGCAATCTCTTTCAGAATTCTCTTTGCCATTATATTTACTCTTGAACCACATTTTTACCGTATACACTTACTCCGATTAGTGATAGTACTGAATTCTCGAACTTTTACAACACATAAAGAGTGCCTAATGATGAAGAGTACCGTATATGCAATGGACAGCGTTTACATAACTCTACGGACACCTAACGCCGTATTTCATTTACTTAATGGCTTCCGGGAAGTAAGGTACGCTGCCAGCCGGTTCCCGTAATACCTGCGTTGCGTAAAACGACTATCATCTTGAACCCAGTACTGTAACTCCCGACATCAAAGCATTTAACTGATGAAGTACCTACATATATAGATAAGGAAAGGCATGAATGAGACTGGATATTTTCACGATACAAGAGATGTAAATACATCTCTTGTATTGTGAAGATATCCAGTCTCATTCATACCTTTTCTACATTTGTCAACATGAATACGGTTCATATATGAATAAATTATCATAAATTACATATATAAATAAATAAAACTATCTTGAACCCAGTACTGTAACCCGACTGGTGACGTACCTATATATATATAAATACAATGCAAGATCAACCAATATGTAAATGAAACTGTAAGGAAGATACACAGCCTTGGCACAGTTATACCGCTGCGGGCATTTCCGTTTCTCACGCGCGCGATCTAGGCAAAGTGCAATCCCTTGATTGGATCGATAGGAAGACCATCTTTGATATCATAGGTTTTTTTTGAAGGTCTGATCATATCTTACAAGGGATCGACGTGTTGCAAGATTAAATTGCGAATTAGAGATTTTTTTTTTTAGAAACTGTTGTGCGTTTGATCGAAGCTTTGATCTTGGTAATCGTTTGGTTGCTGTTAATGGTAATAGAATTTGTTTTCGTTATTGATCCTTATCCAACCACCACATACACCACACTCACCACCACACACACACACTCACCACCACACTCACCACCACCACACACACCACATCACCACCACTCACCACCTCACCACCACTCTCACCACCACCACCACACACCACCAACACCACACCACACTCTCCACCATCACACACCATCACTCACCACCACCCTCAGCACCATACCACGCCCTCTGACCTCACCCCGCCCTTTTTTTACCCCACAGGCGGGCGAACTCAACCTGTACGGCGCCCACCCCTACTTCCAGTGCATAGAGAACGACGGAAACAGCCACGGTCTTCTGCTCCTCAACAGCAACGCTATGGGTGGGTGGGATGCCCGTGTTTTAGTGGGGGTTTGTTTCGTTCATGTGGGGTCGTTTTTTTTTTTCTTTTTGTCTCTCGGTCTGTTTTTTTTGTTTTTTTGTTTTGTTTTTGTTTTTCTTTTTTTTTCTTTTCTCTCTTTCTTTCTTCTTTCTCTTCTCTTCTGTCTCTGTCTGTCTCTGTCTCTTCTCTCTCTTCTCTTCTGTCTCTCTCTCTCTCTCTCTCTCTCTCTCTCTCTCTCTCTCTCTCTCTCTCTCTCTCTCTCTCTCTCTCTCTCTCTCTCTCCTCTCTCTCTCTTCCTCTCTCTCTTCTCTTCTCTCTCTCTCTCTCTCTCTCTCTCTCTCTCTCTCTCTCTCTCTCTCTCTCTCTCTCTCTCTCTCTCTCTCTCTCTCTCTCTCTCTCTCTCTCTCTCTCTCCCTCCCTCTCCCTCTCCCTCTCTCTCTCCCCTCTCTCTCTCTCCCTCTCTCTCTCCCTCTCCCTCTCCTCCTCCTCCTCCTCTCCTCCTCTCCCTTCTCCCTCTCCCTCTCCCTCTCCCTCATCTCCCACATCGAAGGATCATTAAAGCAAGGCATCCACACCGCACCTCAAGACGACGGAGACCACAGAGCTCACTTTACCCCGCCATATACACGGAGGATGAACCTTACTGCCGGCAAACAAATTAGTTTTGCATTGGCCAGATCATCATAGCTGAATAATGCTGCTAATGAGCTTATCAGCGAGATACCCAATCCCTCATTTCTTGACAGGACGGGTTGGAGATAAGTGGTGAAGTGACTGGGATTTCGGTTGGGATGTGCATGTCTTGAGAAGAGATGAGTGAAGTGACTGGGATTTCGGGTTGGGATGCGCATGTCTTGAGAAGAGATGAGTGAAGTGGAGGACTGGGATTGCGGTTGAGTGAGC